TGTTTACCCCCCCCCCCCCCCTGTTAAAAGAGCTGACAAATAACAGCACGTTGACACTTGTATGTCTCTCAAGAGTTCTCAGAAGGCATCTAAACATTCAGGTTTTCAAAGCTTTGCATTACCCAAAAGTATTAAGTGAATTTTTCCTGAGGCCACTAAAACAAACTACTACTCCCACTTTCACAGCTCTCCAGCCAACCTCTTTTTATCTGCTGAAATGAAGTTTCATATCTTGCCTTCTAAAGGCAAAATTTGCTTCTCGTTGCACCACTGAGATCGATGGAATTACGCTGGGTTTGTGCCCAGTGTCACTGAAAGGAGAAGCTGGCTCTAGCCTTCGGTTTACAGCACCGTACCACATTCATACCCTGCCGCTTTTCTGGTTAAGAAATTGCAGTTCCAAGGGCCGTCTCTTACAACTTTGATTTTGCATTACCATGTTTCGGTATTATAAATGTAATTTCAAACAATGTCGTAGCCTGCTGTCTGTGTGGGTTTCTATTTACTGCTGTTTGCTTTCCCTGACAGATTTATAAATAAAATGATTTTGACACAGCCTTGTTGCTGTTGCAGAAGTGATATGCCTAAATATAGAAATGCGGTGTAAATATTTATAAGATTCCCTTTATGAGGCAGGCTTTTCTAAGTGCCTCCCAGGGCAGGAGTATGTGTATGGGGGTGTGGGGACTGGAACGACAGCTGTGCTAAGAGTTCCCTGCAGGAGCGGGTAATGGGGCTGCGGCACTCCAGGAGATTTATTTTGGGGAGAGCAGTTTTAAATTCGGCAAGGACTCCACAGAAAGAGAGCTTCTAGTAAGATTAGCCGAGTTCTTGCATCGCTGCCCCTGACACACCGTTTCCCTTCACTTTGCAGGCAAAGCTGTCTGTCCCAGGTCGCTCGGCGCTGCAGGTAACGCACATCGCCCTGCATTTCCTCTTTCTTAAGGCTTGCAAGTTGACTCCCGTTATACAAGCCGTCGTGGGGCTTTGTTTGCATGAATGTATTTGGATGAAGGAACAAGTGTAACAATATTTTTCTTGATGCTTTTGTGCATTTGCAAATACGTCTTCTTCTGAAATGGCTGGTATAAATGATGCTGGGATAGGTAGTCCTTCATCCCTGCTGTGCGGATGGTGTCAGGCTAGATTCTCCAAAAAGTCTACTTGCATCTTCCCTAGAGTCAGTTTGCAGGATGGCGAATCTGGGAACGTACGTGATTTTCTTCTCTGCTGGCTCTTGGGTCTGGTATCCCTTACCCTTGGTCTAGTATTGAAATGTCAGAGCACAGGTAGATGACGATTTTTCTGACCTAATTTAAAGAGCAGTCTGTAGAAAGGTCAAAACTGATGCCTGACACATAAAAGTACATTGTTGCATGTTTGTTAATGCTGCCATTAAAACTACCTGTTCGTTTGTTGATTTATGGCAAATAAAATTCTTAGCACGGGATTCTGCTTGTGGAGGACTAACACAGTCTGTGCCCGTGCTTGTAAATAAAACTGAGTGTTCCCGGGTGCTTGAATACGATTGTCTGCAGAGCCCAGGGCGTAGCGACCTTTCCTGCTGTGCCTCCGAGCATGCCACCAGCTCGGTGCTGCTCGGCGGCGGAGGTACAGCAGGCACCCTTCCCAGCTGGCGGTCCCTGTGCAGCCGCCCTGCTGTGGAGACCAGGAGAGCTCCCGTGTGGAGTCGCATGCCGCTCTGTGCCAGCTGGCTTGATTGAGAGCCCGTGCACGTTCACAAGGACGCTCAGTTCACTAGTGTGGAGTAGATGCGGCCATAAACGCCGTTATTTTATTAATAGTGACGGGTGTTCACAGTCCTCCGTAGATCCACTTCACACCGCAAAGATTTTGGGATCCGAAGCTATGTCTTCCAGTGTAACGGCGGGTGAATTACAGTGGCGCTGAGGCCTTTGAACTACATTACTAAATCGGAGACCCTGGTTTGTAAAGATACTTGTGCCGTACCACTCGTACACAGTTGGGACTGATACGATAATATGTACCATAGGAATGGTGACAGCGGTGAGATGTTCCAGGCACCTGAATACGTGATTAACAACTCAAGAGTTTTCAGGCTGGGTTTGTCACTGATTTGCATGGCCTTGGGCAAGTCATTTGAACAAGGTTACACTTTCTCTATCAGTAAAGTGGGAAGCTATTTCACAGATGTGTCAGAGGATTAATTAGGTTTTTTACAACATTTGCAAACTGTTAAACTTTAATGCTCCGTAGGATGAAAAGCCATGTAAAGCGAATGGCCCAGTATTTCAGTTATTTATAGAGAAGGTCTTGCTTGGATCATGGATACAAACACCTTGTAACCTTCACTTTCACTCCTTATTTCAGCACAAAACCTGCTTCTGTCCTCTACCTGAATGCAGTTTGTTTCCACTTTTCCAAAGGTGTTATCCTATCTCAAAAATAAATAGCAACAGGGGAATTTTCAGTCTGTCACAGGATGGAGTCATGAGAAAGCAGCCTTCCTGTGATGAAGAACCCGGAATGCTCCCAAGTGTTCCAATTCTTCCCCTTGTACTCCCACAGCTATTTAATAAACAGTTACAGAGTGAGTGCTAATTCTTCCTACCTGCGTAGCTGTTACAACCCCGTGGGAGGCCACGTGTGTTGCTGGGGAGGTGGAAGGGTGGGCAGAGTCTGGGCAAGAACTTCAGTACTGATATTTTTATTTCCTGTAACTTAAAATTCCTTACTTTCATCATGTTTATATTTTCTTTTATTTTTATTGAATAAAGCTGACTGTGTTCCCAGAATGATTAACGTGAGGTACTCATTGAACAGCCATCATCACTACCTGCATATTTGATTTTGGGTCTGTGCTGTCAATTCTCCCATGTTCATGGTACAAATTAGAAACTTTTGTTTGCATTGAGTATTTGTTTGTATTGAATCTCTGAATAGATCATTAATGATAAGCTATTTTTTAAATCTTTCCCTTCATTTTAAAAGATCAACAGTTTTCAAATGTTCTTTTTGTTTAACGACTTCCTGATTATTATTGATTTCCAAGAACATTTTTGTCACATGAGAAATGATCTCTCTCAAACTCCAAAGTCTTCCATAACCTTTTGTCCCTACTCATTTTGTTCGCATGTAGCTTGATATCCTTTCAAATAAATGTTTAAGCTGGAGATGAATTAAGCCCAAATAAAAGACTATAATCGCCATACTAATAGAAATTATATCCTAACTTAAGAGTCAATATGTATATGACTTTAAAATTCATGAAGAAATTACTATTGAATCACTACCTTTATTTTTGTCCCTTAAGCAGATGCAAAAATATGTGTGAACAACTACCTTGAAGTAATCATTTTTATTAGTATGTGATACTGTTCTTCGGGTTTCTTTTGTCTGCCTTCCAAATGCCTTAAAAAGCTTTTGTATAGTTGCCTGCAATTGTTCACTTTCTTTTTTCAATTTTAGAACAGCACCATTACACAGAGGCATAGGTTTTCGCTTGTCTCACTTCAGGCTGCAACAGCAAAAGTCTGTCTTTTTTTCCCTCTAATTTTGCATATTTCATGGTTTTGCTGGTGTAAATAGACGTGTGGTATTTCAGTCCCTTTTCATGAGCCCTCAGTGCACGCAGCAAATCTTCTTCCTTTCAGAAACAAGTTGATGTTGCAGTTCAATACTCCGCCTCAGCACGTCTTTAAGTCTGAAGTTTTATGTTAGTTAGAACATTGAGGCTCAAAATCTTTTCTTCCCAGCAAATCTTGTTCCTTGCTGATCTGAGTCTGGCCATACTTCAACCCAGTTGTTCCAGTCGTGAACATTGATGGAAATGCTTTTCCTACCTTTATGATTTGTACATCCTGACAGATTTGCTCAGAACCTGTTGCGTTGCAGTTTTCTTGAGAATTAGAAAGCGTACGATTTCTGTGCCATACCATTTAAATGTTGTGCAGATCTTACTAGTTTAATCAAAGAGTAATTATTTTACTGTTGACTTTTAAAAAATCTTCTTTTTGAGTGTAATACACTGATGTCAGTATACATTTTATTCTAATTATTACCACATTACCAATGACTTTTCAAAATACTGTGTATTTTGTACTGTATTTTTTCAGTTTGGTACATTTCTAGTTTTAGACAATTTGCTGTCTTCCTGACATTTAACATGGTGTTTTGTGACATGCTGAAACATACAATATTCATCTGGATGAATATTCATCTTAGGTCATATAGTATATCAGCAAGTGAATTATTCAGAAACAACCATTTTAAGCAAGAGTAACAGCATTCAGTAGCACTCTGGAGGCATTGCACAGCCTTCTGGCCGTACCTCGGCCTGCACTAACAGGGAGTCGGAAGGTTTGTTTGCTGCTGCCCTTTGCCGGGTAAGTCAGTGCCCGTTTTTTTTTTCTTTCAGACCTTCTACATCAACGAAGCAGGCAATGTTTTTTTCCTTGAATCCTTACCAAGTGCTATGAAAATGTGCCTGTAAAGGCTAACACCATTAAAAGTACACGTCGCATAAGAGAGTGAAAAAAAATGAAATTCTGTGGAGCAAACCCAATGGAGTAGTGCATCAGAATACTCAAATTGTTCTACTTACTGTATTTTCCTGTGGCCAAATACTTTTCTATCATTTCTGTATGTGTCTGAGAAAATGCATATTCACTGTTGCCCCTTGCTACAGCTTTTTACTACGTTGCAGGATTTTACTTTTTAGAAAAGCCACTGTGGTTTGACTTTCGGATCCATTTTACCTGCTAAGTTTAGACTGATGTCCTAGCACTTCACATAAACCTTCTGCCGTGGATATTTTAAAAATAGGCACAGAAAATAAAATTTTACTGCTTCTTGCATTTAAATTTTCTAGTTGTAATTGTTACTTCTCAGTAACTATGAGCTCGTATCTGGCAAAATATATTGACAAAGCAGTATGTTTCAGAGGTCAGGCTTGTTATTTCAGGCATAGCCCGTTCAAATCCAGGTGCACCTGTGCTGGCTTGTTCTCAGAGCATTGTACGGTGCAGTATGGTCTTACACAGCCCTGGGTCGGCACTAACTTGGAATTGTCAGTGTTGTGTTTTAATTTACAGACAAACCTGAAAATTCAAGAGCTCGTCTAGAGACTGGATGAAACCGATCAGTAAGTGGAACCCAAACTGCAGGTCATGTATCTGGCATTCCCGAGGAAGGCTATTGTTAGATAATTGCCATCTATAAAGTGTGTTATAGATGAAATAATGATACAAAGGTAAGTTTCAGTCACAGAGGTGCTGGCATATTATCTTAGCACACAGGAGGCAAGTGGGAGTGTGCTTTTCATACAGTACTGCATGGCAGCTGTAGCTGCCACGATGCGTGTGCTACCTGAGACGGAGCAGCAACTGCAAGGGCATAAGTGGACACGGGGCCCAGAAAATAGACCAGCCATGCATATGGTGGATTTTTCCAAAGGAAATGGTGCGAGAGTCAAATTGTGACAACAAACTGAAAAAAAAGAGGCAAAAAAAAAAAAGCACACCTAAGAACATTTATTTGCTTTGAAAAACTGCTTATAATTTTCCATATGTGATTTTTTCATATATGTCTTTATCCTTATCTGTATCCTTTTTGACAGAGTGGCTCTCTTTTTTAGTGTATAATAGTTAATTAAGCAGCACCAGCATTTTTCCTTTTTTCTGAGAGCTGACGTTTATGTCCCTGAAAGGCCATGGCAAAACACCCCTTCACTATACTTCAGTAGCATAGGAACAAATGCTACATGAATGCTCTGTCAGTCTTACTTAAAGACTGTGGTCCTTTAATTTACATTCCGTATCATTGCCTATATTTAAATGCGAGAGAAACCTGTCTGTTTATACTCATCTATATTTACAATTTATGCCTTCATATAAAACATGTATGGATTCTCTCCTGAGCCTGTAAGTATTGAGTGACTCCATTTATAGATATACCGAACAGTTAAATTATTTTTTAAGCAACGCTAAAAGTATCGTCATTTTTGGAAGCTGATTTGTTAGTTATTGAGTTTTTTCCATAGGAAGAGATGAAAAACTGAGTTACAAAGGACAAACAACATTTTTTTTCCATTTTGAATTTGAAAGTACTTTGCATGTAATGATTTTCCCTGCTTAGTTAATTACAGCTAACTTCCATAAGGGTTCTCAGTAATGAATGACCTTAGGTTTATGCAGCATATCTCTGGCTGTTGGTGGTCAAAAATTTACATGTTGACAAACATCTTTGTATTTTTGCAGCTGTTGAGGTATCCTTTGGATGTTTGTGTAGGTGCTTTTACAGGAGCTAGGGAAAGGAAAAAAGCCTGATAAGAATGAACAAACAGGAAAATGTGATTACACTCGTCATACCTACAGAACTTCCTCTGAGACCCATGATGTAACCTATGCAGGGTAATCCCAGCCGTTGTGTGGAGGACTGTCTTTCATTTCAAGCTCAGGCAATTTTTCATGCTGTTTACCCTGACACTTTTAAACGAACAGTTTAATCACACTATTGAGGAATATATCGTTAGTTTCAATAAAATTAATTTCTCAATTTGTGGTTATTAGTTGCAATGACTTAATGTAAATCACCTACCTATATATTGTAGTTAAATAAAGGATATTTCTGTCAGGCGTAGCTAACAGGTGTTCCTGTAAATGAAATTATATGCATAACCTATAAAAATCAACCAAAGACTAATGCATATATTACTCAGCAGGCTCATATTCTGCATTGATAGTAGAAATTGATATCCTTGCTTAATAGAACAATTCAAGTATAAAATTTAAACAGAGTATTTCTAGATGTAATATAGGTAACAAATGACTATATATATTGGTCTTTGCAAGGAATATTTGTATAGAGGAGCTCATAAAATAATAACAATGGAAATTATTTATTTTTTAATTTTAAAATTTCACTTAAGTTTCCAGTTACCAGAAAATAATAACCAACTCTTTTTGACCTATATTTTTAAATTAACATTTTCATGAACGGTGTCATTGAAAACTGAAAAATCAGGAAAGGAAATACTGTGTCGTGTAACAGACGTGAGTTTAGCCAAGAAGTAGCAAGATCTAACTTCATGTACATCAGATCTGCCTAAAGCCAGTAATTTTTTA